TTGGGTGAGGGTATTTCGTGTTTTTTTTTTTTTTTACTTCATTTTTTGAATTTTCATAGTCCTCCACGCGCGCGCACGCCCCCCGGGGTCGCGTTCAATTTTTTCGCGCTCCGTCGCGTGCAGTGCGTTTGAACGCGATTGAACGCGGTCCCGGGGGGTATGAACGCGCACGATTGAACGTGCACGCGCGTTCTGCGCGTTCAACCAGTTACACAGTCTCTGAAATTTCCTTTCCTTCTTCATTTTTTTGGAATTTTGACGTTGTCCTTCTGGTTGATCGATAAGTTATGTATTTCTCGGCTCTCGATCTACGATGAATGATTGAGGATATTTTTGGCGTCTGATTGATTGCCATGTAAACTGACGGGCTCAACCCGACTAGGCGCCGGCCTCCCGTATCCCCACCTCGCCCCTTCCCGTATAACGAGGAAAGGACGCGTGTGTGTGAGCGGGATGTACGAGAAGCCGTCACAAAGATCGGGGGGTGATATTACTTCCCTCCTAAAAATCGGTGTTTTAGGTTTGTCGGCGCTAGGTTTGTCATTATCGATACACATTTTCCGCCATACTCGTTACTATTACCCTTCAACGAGTTGATCGTCATCCTGTGGTCGGCAGTGGCGCCCCATTGGCCTCACACTCTGTGTCGTGATTGCCAACGCTTCGATCACTACCAATCAAAGGGCTTCCATTACCGAGTACGGAATGAGGGCGAGCATAAGGAAAATGCCACACGATTAAGGCTGTCCACGTCAGAATCGGAATTGTGCAGCGTGCGGCATCGGGAGCTAGTCCGAAAGCGGGATACTAAGTACGTGCCCGCTCCCTTTCACTCCAAAGGAAGAGCCGTGGCTCGGTGGGAGGTCTGACAGTATTTTCTGGATTGAATTCAAACTTCCCCGCGTCACGAATCCCGCGCGGGGGGTTCTTCGAAACCCTCGTTGCAACCGACCAGTTCTCGTACTTCATCAGACCAACACGGGGGATTTCAGTTCTGTCTGTGTCCCCACACTCAATTTCCAAAAATCCTTGGCACACCCCATCTTGCTGTTTTTTGGGGCCTTCTTTCTGCACCCTTAACATTCCGAACGAAAGACAGCGCAGGGCGTGAGGTTGCGTCTCACAAGCCCATTGTGTGTTAAACCACCAGTACTTGGCCCATACATCGGATGCAGGCCTTGCACGTTAACGCACCGCACATTTCGGGGGTTCGGGTACCGAACCGAAATGGCTGGCGGCGCCAGCCAGAAGCAGACCCGCGTCGCTTTGTTTTCTTTTGGTGCGCAGGGCAAGTTTAGGCTTGGCATCAATAGCTGGGCCAAGTACTGGTCCCCAGTACTTGGCCCATACATCGGACGCGGGCCTTTCACGTTAATGCGCCACACATTTCGGGGGTTCGGGTACTGAACCGAAATGGCTGGCGGCGCCAGCCAAAAGCAGACCCACGTCGCTTCGTTTTCTTTTGGCACGCAGGGCAAGTTTAGGCTCGGCATCAATAGCTGGGCCAAGTACTGGTGGTTTAATGTTTGAAGTGCGCTGAATTTAGAACGGGCGGCGCCGGGCAAGTTTAGGCTTGGCATCAATAGCTGGCCCAAGTACTGGTCCCCAGTACTTGGCCCATACATCGGACGCGGGCCTTTCACGTTAACGTGCCACACATTTCGGGGGTTCGGGTACCGAACCGAAATGGCTGGCGGCGCCAGCCAAAAGCAGACCCACGTCGCTTCGTTTTCTTTTGGCGCGCAGGGCAGGTTCAGGCTCGGCATCAATAGCTGGGCCAAGTACTGGTGGTTTAATGTTTGCAGTGCACTGAATTTAGAAGCACGTCGAAAATATGGGAATATTTGTTGTAAATTTCAAAGCTGGCTCCTAGATTCCTAAGTAGTAGAGTTTGTCTGTTTGCATGCATCTAGCTACAACTCTAGCGTTGATTCATAAATTCTCGTCAAGTTTCTGACGCAATTTCATAGGTTAGATCAGTCGTTTATAGCTTGTAGCTTTATAGTCTTGGCCGAAACAAAGTAGACACACGCGATTCGGTAGACACACGTAATTCGGTCTCCTTGTGCTGCCTCGTGTAGGCATTATCTTTGATCCGAGAATGTTGGGTACAGCGGAATACGATTGAGAGAGCGAGGTAATTTGATTGTGGTTCGGAGCAGAATTCATGGAACTACTAGCGGCGGCGCCATCTTGAGCAGTGAGAGTTTATCAAGGGGTGGTGGGAACGCTACTGGTCACTCGGTGGTAAGAGAGACCCGGCGAAGAGCAAACTTGAGTTGCACCCATTGTGATCATAAAACAACGAAGATCCAATGGTGCGTGGTGGGAAACCCGTCATGGCAGCTCAGGCGTCTTACAGTGTTAATTTCTACTGTTTGTTTGTGGTTTCGGTCTGAAGTTGTAGCATTGTTGTCAGTGTTAACTTTTGAAAGATGTGGAAAGGGGACAGTGGACCCGGTTTCCAGCACAAGCCGAAGCTGACTTAGCTGAGTAATGGCCTAACTGAGGGCATACTCACACAACGACTTTGGGCTACCGGTAGGTATCTACCAGCACAAGCTGAAGATGTCTGTAGAATGAGTTGGGAAAGGGGACGCTGGACCCTGATTTTCACTGCGCACGGAGTTTTGCCGAGCCTGGGTTCCGTTTTGTTTCTTTTCTGGTACTCTCCCGAAAAAAAAAAAAAAAAAAAAAAAAAAAAAACCGCATGGTCAGAGTCCGCCAGACTTTCAAAAAACGACCCACTCGACTGCTAATGGGACCATGCTCCTGGTAGATACCTAGCCCGAAGTCGTTGTGTGAGTACGCCCTCAGTGAGGGCGTTACGGCAAGCCTTAGGGTGTCAGGTCCACGAAAGAAGGAAGAGGGAAAAAAAAATTGAAACGAAAAAAAAAAATTGGAACTGAACTTAGAGCGGGAAGGCGGGTTCATACATTCTGCAAAGTAATAGTGTGACTCGTGCCCTCCTCCACAGAGTGTCAGCAGCCCATGGACTGCGTGCACCATGCGCCTCCCTGGCGGGCCACCAAAAAAAAAAAAAAGAAAAAAAAAAAAAACACGAACAATGAGATAAACCCTTGGCCCCCCAAGCCAGCATTGGCAGGACCTTGGATGATGTTGTTGGCTGGTATGCAGCGACAATATTGGCCATTAGACACCGCCATGTGGGGTTGAAGGGGGGTAGGGGGAGGTGCAGGGACTGGCCATTGCTCGGCGCTAGCACCGCTGATTTCTCCCATGGGCAATGCCTGCCCACCCCTGGTCACCGTGATGAGGGACTGGTACAGCCTTGCTCTCGCACCACAGCTGTGGTGCAAACCTACCCCGTGGGCTGGGGAGAGATCCAGGTTGGTTGGTGTTCCCCCGTACTATAAATAGACTAGTGAGAGGATGAGATAGATGTGTACTACCAAGAAAAAGACAGAATATGAGATAGATGAGAGAAGAATATAGTTTACTTAAAAGAAAAAAAGAAAAAAAAGAAAAAAAAAAAAACCCTGAAACTGGCCACTATAGGGGAACATGGGAGTTTTGGTGTGAGTACAACTTGGTGCATGACCTTCCCCCGACATGATCTTCTGTTTTTCTTTTTGTTTTTCAAAGGGCCCCTCAAGGCCCAACTGCCGAAACTCATCCAACCCCGGAAAAAGTTCGGAAAAAGTTCGGAAAAAGTTTTCCCATTTTTCCCAAGAGTGAACTTCCAGCTAGAACATGGCCAGATGCGCCCGCCACATTTTTGTTTTTTTCACATTTGGAGAGGAGAGTGGTGTGTCGAGACCCTAAGGCTTGGACCCCACTGGCCGGCGGCGTGGAAAAGTTTTGGCGAGGAAGTGTTTTTCAGACCCCACAGGTGTTGGAAACCGTCGTGGAAAGTCGGCCTGGAAAGGAATTTCAGACCCCACTGCGGTTGGAAAGAGGTCGTGGAAAAGCTGACGGGGCGTTTCTACTCGGCTCGCGGTCTGGAAATGCAATGCCGACGAGTTTCCAGGCCGTTTCCAAGGACGCCTCCAGACAAGTAGGGGGGGGGGCATGTCAAACAGTTTCCAGAAAACGGCTGGACGGCGCGAACCACGGACCATCGTCGTGGACCGTTTTCTGGAGCAGTAAGCTGGCGCGGACATGCTCTTCATTTTCTCGCGTTGCACGGTTCCCACAGGGGGGGTCTGGGCCCTCCATGCTACCCTCGGTTTGCGAACGGCATGACGCAGAATTTGAAATTCGAATTTTTTGGCGGGCTCAGGACGTAGGCCAGCCATGCAGTCGCTTCATGTCGTGCGAGTTCAGTGGGAGAAGCATCGGCAGTGACACCATTACGTCGCCGTCGTCGACACATCCATTAAACCCTCCGTTGCTTCTCACCAGCGTTATGCCATCGCTCATCTCCTTCGCACGTGCAGGTTCCCTGGCCTGCCTACGGGGAAGCCATCTCGGGTGGCGTCGGCAGGCGTTGTCCAGCCGGGGCTTGCATTTCGAAGCTGTTGGCGTTGTGTCGAGCAATGTTTGTAGAACGCACAGTCCGGCCCCGGCGCTCTCACTACCTGCCCGCGCACACACGTGTCGTCCAATGCTGACCTCCCGTGTGGTCGCCATTGCACATGCCGTGCTCCGTCGTGTGCCTCCCTTGCCATCCTCACTTCTTCGTCTGCCTCGGCAGGGCGGTCGTTTGTCCTCGCCGGAGAGCAACCCCGGCACATGTGGGCAGGGATGGGCTGCACATGACGATGTGGTTATAAGTCCTTATCCACACACTCGCCACGTGTCGGTTGTCGAACGCTATAGTCGGCCGTGTGAATGTGACCGCTGCCATCGTCGTTGTTGTGTGGATGTTATCATAAACAACCACTGCGGCGGAGGCGGGCGACGAAAAAAACCATCGTCGGCTGTTATCGCAAGCCTGCTTGCCATCGCTATCCTCCTTTCCACAACTTTCGTGTCGTCCATCATTTTCTGGTATGCGATCGTGTACTTGTGCTGTCGTCGGTGGAGATAAGCAGCGAAGCGTTGTTGTTGGAGGGCGAATTGTGTGTTTGTAGGTGTTGCCTCCGTATAGATACCTTCCGCAGCCAAATGGAGTCGTACCGGTCGACGATAGATCCCTGTGCAGGCAATGGTGGGGGATTCCAGACCCAGGAAATGCGACAGCAAGGATCTGTCTCGTGCTCCTCGCCTTCACCGGCGACTATGCAGTCCTTCAGCGGGCAAATGCAGGAGGTTGTGCGTGCGGGGCCGATTCAAGTGCCACCTGCTCGTGTGCACTCTCCATCTGTCCATCATGCGGAAGGTGCACGTCGATGGTTCGTTGTTCGACCCACTGCAGAAAGTCTGCACGCAGGCCCCGTGCACACGGGCCAGACGTCGTTTTGCACACAGGTTGGAGGCGGGTATGGCATGCCTTCTCCGCACATGTTCCTGGGCGGCGGTGGATATGGCATTGCTCCGCACATGTACCCCACCCAGCACACTATGGAAAGGGGCGGAGTGATGAGGGACGAGTGGCAGTGGTCCCCACATTGTCGACCACCGTCGCAGCCCATGCATGGCAGGTTGTCCGCTCCCTCGCCCATGTCGGTGAGGCGGTCTGCTGCCGAGCCCTCACCTTTGATGGCAATGTGCAAGGAGAGGATATGGATGAGGGGTGGCCTGTCCACAGTGCAACTTCATCGCCTGCCGGCTTGCAAGGTCGTTCCTTTGGTGGCCAGGAAGATGAGTTGGTTGGCGACAATGAAGTTGAAGGTGATGGCGGTGACATTGATGGGCAAAACTCTGACAACGTGCAGGAGGATAGGGACAGTGCTAGTGCTGGCCAGAGAGATGGGGGCGAGAATGTGGTTGGGCCCCAAAGCAGCGAGCGTGCAAACAAGCGGGGGGGCAAAGATGGTGCTGCGAAAAACAAGAAGCAAAACATCCCCTGGAGCTTGGATGAGAGGATCGTGCTGTCCAGATTGATGGTCGAGGATGACGCCCTTATGGCCGACGCCGACGGGCAGTATCGGTTCAAGAGGAGGAAGGACTGATATGAGTGGGTGCACGATCGGATGGCGGAGCAGGGGTTTCCACACAGGTCGGCGGAGGATTGTCGTAAGAAGTGGCAGGGCATGCTGGCGGCAGCGAAGTTGATTCTCGACAAGTGTGAGAATGCTTCGGGGAAACCTTCGTACTGGGACATGACCGTTGACGAGTGGAAGGCGGAGCAGGTGCCACTAGGCTTTGAGAAAGCTCTGTGGGAAGCGATGGAGTGGAAACTCAATCGGCCATCCATCAAGTGTGACAAGACGCTGGCATCCGAGAACCTGCCAGGTAATGCGGGGGGGAATTCAACGTGCGGCAGTTCAGCACAGCCGTCATCGGGAAGGAGTGCTTCCGACGGCAAAGCAACGGAGGATTCGGACCAAGCAGCGAAGACCCGGAGGACGAACACCGGCGAAACCAGGATGGACGACACAATCAGCGGTGGGACAGCATTGGGTAGGGCGATGGAGGACGCCACACGGTCGTACGGCGAGGGTTTAGATAAGGCCGCTGCCACTCTGGCGAAGGCAACATCGGAGGCAGGCTCCGCGATTGCGGCGAAGATCTGTGATGTGGCAGATGCCATGCGTGGCGGGAACACTGCCCTTGAGATGCTCGTGGGGGTTCTTGCGAGGCGCGGGGGTGGGGGGAACAGTGCTGCATACGAGAGGGCGGATACAGACCCCTCGACACGTTAAAACTCGTATATATATATATATATCGTCAAATATATATATATATATATATGTATATATATATATATATGTATATATATATATATATATATATATATATGGCCTGTCGTTTTCCCGTCCTGACATCCATGCCGGGTGTCCCGTCCCTTGTTCGGGCACCATCAACCGGTGTGTCCCTATATATATATTTTATATATATTAAATATAAATATATATATATATATATATACAATGGCCGAGATGGGTGTTGGTTGTCGTTTCCCCGTCCCGACATCCACGCCGGGTGTCCCGTCCCTTGTTCGGGCACCACCAACCGGTGTGTCCCTATACATATATATATATAGGGACACACCGGTTGGTGGTGCCCGAACAAGGGACGGGACACCCGGCGTGGATGTCGGGACGGGGAAACGACAGCCAGCACCCATCTTGGCCATTGTCAATGGGAACCGGTAATCGGTGCCTGCGTATATACATGTGGGCAGTCACGGCTTCACTGGGCAGCGCAGTCGTTGGTGGACGGTTCTTCAGTCGACGACGCAGTTCTCGTGAAACGAGGAGTGGTCTGCATGCGAAGGCAGAGAGAGAGAGAGAGAGAGAGAGAGAGAGAGGGGGAGAGAGAGAGAGAGAGAGAGAGAGAGAGAGAGAGAGAGAGAGAGAGAGAGAGAGAG